CTCTCTCTTCTTGCTCTCGGTCGAACACAACACACACACACTCACAAAAATCCATTTCATTCTCTCTAAGTCTTGAAGGACATCTCCTTCCTCCTTCTTCAAAAGTTTCGAGAATCAAGAGCTTTTCAAGGAGGTTTTTCCCACAAACACATCATCTAAGGTAAGTTGATGACTAATCCATGATCTAGCTACTTCATTTCATCAAAAATATCTTCTAAATCTATTCCAACTTGTGATCATGCACCTTAGAAGTCACTAAACTCGAGATCTACCAAGGAGACTTGCTAGGATCGAAATTTTCTTCTTTTCTCTCTTCAAAACCGAAACTACAACTTAAGGTGAGCTTCATACCCCCTATTTTCTGTTTTTATGAGTTTTTTGGGGAGGGATACAAGTGAAAGTGTAGATCTATATGTGTTTTGTATGCTTTGTATGATTTCCATGCTTATATGTGTGCTTTTGTGAGTTATAATGTTGGATTTAGCCATAAAACTCCTCAAAACCGAGATTTACCTTATGTTAAATGATTTTAGCCTCTACTATATTTCTACATACTAAGTGTCTCTAGAAAAATAGCTAAGTGGTTTAGTAATAATTTCTTTGGACTAAAAACACAATTTTTGGACTTAAAATGTGAAAAATACAAAATTTGAGGGCCTAAATTGACAAATCACAAATTCTGATGGATGAACTGTGTCAAAACAGTTTCAATAAAACAATTTCTGGAAATATACTCATTTAGAGGATTAAAAACATAAATTTCAAGCTTAATGGGCTAAAAATGACATTTTTGGCCCAATGAGGCCCATTATGCGAAATTTTCTGTTTTGGAGGGCCAAAACTGTGTTTTTCTGTAAAACAGTGGACTATAAGTGATCCAAGTCCTTTTCAAAGGTTTAAAATGCTTTTTAAATTAAAAGGGACTAAAGTTGCAAAAAAATTTCAATTTGGGCCAAAATTGTCAAACTTGCGAAAAAGAAGGGTTATAACCGAGAAAACTAAAATTTCAGGGACTTAAGCTGTTTTCTAGGAAAAATATGCTGGAAAATATTTATTTCAATGATTTTTGGTATTAAAATGTCAAGAAAATTGATTTAAGGACCAAACCGGAAAGTATTTAAATAAAGGGTTGAAAAAGTAAATTTTTACAAACAAGGAGGGGCTAAAAACAGAAAATTTTCAAGGCTAATTCAATACATGCAATTTGACCAAATGATGGTACCACGACTATCGACGAAATACAATACATTACAACACCAAAAGTCGTTGTTAAACGAATTGGTTCGGTCTCGAACCAATAAAAATCCGAAACTACTAACACGACGACACTATGACACTACGACATTACGATTCATAACTAATAACGTTTGGGAATTCAATATACATGCGAGTGTGCACAGACGTCTACGCACCATCTTTGGGCCCCAAAAGTGTAAAATCTTGTTTGTTGAGACTAGCTAGCCCAATGACCTGATCTTAAGGCCCGAAGACCTCTATCTTACGAAGTGTTGGGTTTTACCGATCCGACATAACGTAAAAGGACTTTCAATGGCTTGTATACTACTGGTCCCCAAGGGTCCTTTGGTATTGCTAGTAGAGTCTACATTTTCATGCAAGGCGGGTCTGGGACCCCTCGTACCTTTTTATCCCCAACCGGCTAATGGAGTCATCGAGGCCTTCGTGTCCTCGTTCTCTTCGGGTGTGGGACTACACGTAGTTAGGGCGGTTGGATAACGTGATTGGTACGGACGACGCCTACGGGATCGTTAGTATTGCTATAGACTAGTCGTTTGTGTAACGTGGGTTTGTAGTAAATAATCATGCTCAAAAATTATCCAACGTCGCCTGGTACTGATAATTTCACGCGTTGCAATTGTTTCAATGTACCTTCATGTAATTCAAAGAATTAGGAAAACATCGGGTTTTCCTAGGGTATTTCAAGACATACGGATTCGGAATGCACACAATTTTAAATGAACAATTTTTTACAAGTATAGAAACAAACAAGCATACCTATGGATCTTCACACCTTTTTGACTATACTATTTTCAGAAAAATATCGGATTTTCTGGTGGTTTTTCAACACACATTACAAACATTGGATTTCAAACATTACTTATGAACTCACCAACATTTCATATGTTGACGTTTTTTCAAAATACTTGTATTCTCAGGTAACAGATAAAGTGAAGGATGAATAGTACTCTATTGACGTTTTTGCTGTGGTTTAATTTAGTATCAAACAGTTATTTTTGAGAATGTAATGTTTTGGAACAATGTAATGGATGTAAACGCTACCAGTTGTGTCATTCCAAATGTTGGTGATGTATAATGTTATGTTTCATGTATATTCATTGTGATGGTATTCAATTGAGTCACGACAGCCCCCGGACGTTTCCGCCGTCTGGTTCGGGGGTGTGACAGTCACGACATGATTTGGGTGGTCG